TAGTTTGAACACTTAATTAAAAAATGAGTTTAAGTATAATTAATAGTAGTAACTAAGCAAAAGTAGAAAAGACATAGGTTGTGTTTGGTATGAAGGAAAATGTTTTTTAAGAAAATAATTTCTTGGAAAATAAGTGATTTTATTATTTATTTTCTGGTGTTTCGGTTAGTAAGAAGAAAATATTGTCGCAAGAGCATTTAGGTATAATTGTTTACCCTAAAAATGGAACATTTATATTATATGAGGTCAAGAGCACGTGTTTTAATCTAACTCTTTTTAGGTACATTTATTAGCGGTTTGAATACTTATTGCTTATTAACATAAAGTGAATTGAATGATTTAAAGACAATAGAAGCATACAGGCTGAATGGTTAAGTTAGTTTGCAAGCGTGTCCAGAGCTCTAGTCTCAATTGTGAGTATCCTCATATGAATATGTTAAGCAAGCAGAAGTAAGGGCTCATGAAAATAGTGTGTTATTGTTATATTGCTTGAAATAAAAAAAATGTTTTTACAAATGAAGAGTATAAACTAAAAATTAAATGTCTTTTTTTTTTTTCAATTTTAAATCTTAGCACTATTGTTAAATTGAAAATGTACATGTTTTATGATAATGGTTTTCTTATTAAAATTATTGTCTTTACGTAGTGCTGATGAAATATGAACGGACTATGTTCGAAAATGTCTGACTATGATTTAAATACATATATGGAGGCTAGTGCGGATGAAATAAGAAGGGAAAATTGTATATAATAGCAAACTATTAATTCAAATTAAATGCTATAAATATAGTTTGATTTAATTGTACCTCATAGCAAACTGTTGCTATTTCACCTCTCTCCAGGTGAATCTCGCTCGCCACTTTCATTCTCTCCCTCACTTCTCTCATTTTTTATACAAACGCAAGTGTATAAAGCGCGTTTGTGTTTGTATAAAGCGAGAGAAAATTGTATATATACATATATTTTTGTTCCCCTCTCTCCCCTCTCCCAGATCTCGCTCGCCACTCTCCCAGATCTCGCTCTCTCACTCACCAAACTCACTTTATACAAAAAAACGCAAATTGTATAAAATGCGTTTGTGTTTGTATAAAGCGAGAGAAAATTGTATATATACATATATTTTCGTTCCCCTCTCTCCCCTCTCCCAGATCTCGCTCGACACTCTCCAGATTTCGCTCTCTCACTCGCCTCTCTCACTTTATACAAAAACGCAAATGTATAAAATGCGTGAAAATTGTATATATACATATATTTTCGTCCCCTCTCTCCCCTCTCCCAGATCTCGCTCGCCACTCTCCCAGATCTCGCTCTATCACTCGCCTCTCTCACTTTATACAAAAACGCAAATGTATAAAATGCGTGAAAATTGTATATATACATATATTTTCGTCCCCTCTCTCCCCTCTCCCAGATCTCGCTCGCCAATCTCCCAGATCTCGCTCGCCACTCTCCCAGATCTCGCTCTATCACTCGCCTCTCTCACTTTATACAAAAACGCGAATAATGTATGTTCGATCAAATGCTTGACGATGATCCACAATGATTTAAATACATACAGAGATGTTAGTCTTTATTTATGTTTTGATAACTTCCTGAAATCTCCACTGACATTTTTTTTACTACTAGTAACTCCCACCTTTGCTCCCTTGTTACTCGAACTCCAGCTTCTATCTTTGCTCCATTGGTTACTCAAACTCACGACTTAATGTTGGAAATGAAGGTTGCTTACCATCCGAACAATTCCTTCTTGTCAAGACATTATTATTACACGTCTAAATGAAGAAAGTGTAATATTATTTTTTTATTTTTTATTTTTTGGTAACTAACAACTTTATTAATCACCAGGAGAGAATTACAAAGCTGCTAAGTCAACTCAACTAGCTATTCTAGAAAATAGACTAGAACCCAAATTCTACTGAATTGGAGATTAGCTCATATGAAGTTATCTCTTTTTTTTTTTGTTAAATGTAGGCTTTTATTAATAATTGTATGACCTCATTACATCATTCAGCTGGACTCAAGTCCAGATTCTAGAAAATAAAAGCAACTAAAATAAATGGCCAGCCCAACCCGACAAGCCCTTTTTTTTTGTTAAATGTAGGCTTTTATTTAATAATGGACAAATTACTTAACTACACTCCTTTACTTACCTTAATATCCATTTATCCCTACTTATTTCAAAATTTTCAAAAGTCCCTTATTTACCTATGTATCCCGCATGTATCCCGTGCACAACGCTATGTATCCCGCTATGTGGAATGTATCAAACGCAATGTATCCCGTGCACAACGCTATGTATCCCGCTATGTGGAATGTATCAAACGCAATGTATCCCGTGCACAACGCTATGTATCCCGCTATGTGGAATGTATCAAACGCAATGTATCCCGTGCACAACGCTATGTATCCCGCTATGTGGAATGTATCAAACGCAATGTATCCCGTGCACAACGCTATGTATCCCGCTATGTGGAATGTATCAAACGCAATGTATCCCGTGCACAACGCTATGTATCCCGCTATGTGGAATGTATCAAACCTAATGTATCCCGTGCACAACGCTATGTATCCCGCTATGTGGAATGTATCAAACCTAATGTATCCCGTGCACAACGCTATGTATCCCGCTATGTGGAATGTATCAAACCTAATGTATCCCGTGCACAACGCTATGTATCCCGCTATGTGGAATGTATCAAACCTAATGTATCCCGTGCACAACGCTATGTATCCCGCTATGTGGAATGTATCAAACCTAATGTATCCCGTGCACAACGCTATGTATCCCGCTATGTGGAATGTATCAAACCTAATGTATCCCGTGCACAACGCTATGTATCCCGCTATGTGGAATGTATCAAACCTAATGTATCCCGTGCACAACGCTATGTATCCCGCTATGTGGAATGTATCAAACGCAATGTATCCCGTGCACAACGCTATGTATCCCGCTATGTGGAATGTATCAAACCTAATGTATCCCGTGCACAGGATTTCGGGCTATATGGATTGCAGCTTGGCTATCGGAAGATATAAGGACCGGTAATGATAGTTCAAGGGATAAATCAGTGAGAAGACGAGTGAGCCAGTTTAATTCTGCAACAAGACGCTTCATAGAGCGATATTCAGCTTCAGCTGAAGAAAGGGATATGGAGGTTTGTTTTTTCAATTTCCAACTGATTGGAGAACCGCCCAAGCTTATAAAGAAGCCACTCACAGATCTGCGAGAATCACGACAAGCCGCCCAATCTGCATCACAAAAGGATAAAAGAGAAAAATTGGAGTTTGAATTGAGAAAAAGGCCTTGAGTGGGGTTTGATTTAAGGTATTGAAGGACACGAAGAGCTGCTGTGAAATGGGAAATAGAGGGTTGTTGCATGTATTGTACGAAGAGCTGTTGTGAAATGGGAAATAGAGGGTTGTTGCATGTATTGGCTAAGGGTCAAGACAGTGAAAGAAAGGTCGGGTCTTGTATAGGTGAGGTAGTTAAGTTTTCCAATCAAACGTCGATAGATGGTTGGATCAAGCAAAGGAGTTCCTGATGCAGCAGTTAATTTGATGGAATGATCAAGTGGAGAAGATAATTGTTAGGGAGACTGGAGCAATCAAATTCACTAAGTAAGTCCCGAGTAAACTTGCTTTGTGTAATGATGAAACCTGTTGGTTCTCGCATGATTTCCATTCCTAAGAAATAATGAATTTGCCCAAGATCTTTTATTTGAAATTCTGAATGTAGAAAAGACTTTAGATCTGAAAGTTCTTGAGCATCATCATCGGTGAGCAATAAATCATCAACATAAACTGCCATAATGGAGATAGAGTTTCCTGTCTTTTTAAAGAATAATGAATAATCATTGAGATATGAGGAAAAACCTTTAAAATTGAGAGCCCCTGCAAGTCTTGCCTACCATTGTCTGGAGGCTTGTTTTAAACCATAAAGAGCTTTCTTGAGTTTACAGACATGGTGGGGACTGGATGGACACATTCCAGAAGGAAATTTCATGTAAACCTCTTCTTGGAGGTCTCCATGGAGAAAAGCATTACTTACATCAAACTGAGAAATTGGTCAATTCTTCTTGATTGCAATAGATAATAGGCATCTGATAGTCGTCATCTTAACAACCGGAGAAAAAGTTTCATTGTAGTCTATGCCTTCCTTTTGTATATCACCTCTGATAACCAATCTTGCTTTAAGTCTTTCTATACTTCCATCGGCCTTTTGTTTAACCTTGTAGACCCACTTACAAGGTAAAGCTTTCCTTCCAGAAGGGAGAGGCACCACATCCCATGTTTGATTAATGATCAAAGCCTGCAATTCAGAATCCATGGCAGCTTTCCATCCAGGATGCTGGGAAGCTTGAGAATAATGAGTGGGTTCTGAAATTTGTGAAATAGAATGCAGTAAAACCTGATTTTGATTGGAAAGAGAAGGAAATGGATATGTAGGTGGTGAGGAAGGTACTGCTAGACAAGTAGTAGTAAGATCAGTGGTAAAAAAATTATTGCAAACAAAGTCATGTAAATGACTAGGTAACGTACCTTTGTTTTGTCTATCAGATCTTCTAGGGGTTGGGATGGTAGGGGGAAGTAAAGGGTCTTGAACAGTGGAGGTAGGTGGAGTAGTAGTAGTTTGAGGATGAGAAGTGGAATTAG